AATTCTTAGCCCTGAAGAGCATTACATGGCATTAGGGAGTTTGTACAGCATCGCCATCATCATTTCAGTTTCATTTATTTGGTATAGCCCTGTGAGCCATTCGGCTCTTGAATCGGGTGCAACCGCAACAAACAAAAACAAAAACATGAACAAGAAAACATCTTAAAGGGACTATGCGCAAACAGAAGAATCCAGGAAAAAACAGAAAATTCTTCTAGAAAAGGCACCGTACACCAACGCTGTGTGCAAAAATCCCAGTGGGATGCAAGTCAAACAACAACAACAACCACAAGACAACTTAGATTAAAGCCATCAGTCTATAATCAGCAGCAGAAGAATACTCATCAGCAGACGCATCATCAGTAGAAGGATACTCATCAGCAGCAGAAACATCATCAGCAGTAGCACAAGCATCATCATCAGTATCAAAAGCATCATCATCAGCGGAAGTAAACTCATTATCCCCTCTCGTCCCTCCGTCAGCCTTGCCTTACTTTTACACAGCCATGCCCAAAGGGTCTAACCACTGGACAACCATTGTTTAAATTCTCGACCCCGGTGGGATGATGGGCTTAGTCAACCCCCCCCTCCCTTCCAACTAGACTTTAAAGTCGCAAGCTTCCGATTATGAGCCGATCGCTCTAACCGCTGAGCCACCGGGCAGAAATTAATCTGAATTTAAACTATAACTCAACAAAACTATTTCTATGTTACCAGGGAAGGTTCGCTGAGCTATGTAGCTACTTTTTTTTTCTTCAGAAGCGACCTGGCTATCACATATTATAGCTCAACGAAAGTGGCTTATCACGTGGACATTTATAGCAGCCAAATACTCTAAACGCGTGAAGTTGATTCTAAATGTGAAGGGAAAACCCGGAGGACCTGGAAAAAAATCCACGCGACCACGGGGTGGTTGAGACACACAAACTCCAAATATACAGCAGGCGTCGGCATCGAACCCACAACCTCCTGCTAACCACTCCAAATATACAGCAGGCGTCGGCATCGAACCCACAACCTCCTGCTAACCAGGCGAGGTACGGTAGTTAACATCTCCAAGCCACCGTGGCAACTGAACCCCAATTGACCGCGTCGACACTGACAGCTGCTGGCGCCCTCTGGCGCGATGTATTTAAGCGCTTAGCCTGTACGGTTGGTGGTGGTGGGGCTACGCTGCACGTGGCGGTCTCTAATCCAGCACTGGTGGAGGAAGCAGCAGCAGCAGCAGCGGGGGTTGGTGGATTATACACAGATGCTATTGTGGAACTCCTCTTCCTCGTGGGGTGGACGGCCAGGAGAAGGCGCTATGCCAAAGTGTGGGCTACTATCATGTCAGCTGGCCCTTCGGTAGGATGGGATGGAATGTTGCTCTCTCCCACGCGTGTAATAAACACTCGTTAATTGGCTGTAAGCACTCACTCATTCACCCACCCACTGACTCACCCGCTCGCTCGCTCACCCACTCATTCACTCATTCACCCACTCGCTCGCTCACCCACTCATTCACCCGTTCACCCACTCATTCACCCGTTCACTCACTCACCCACTCATTCACCCACTCGCTCGCTCACCCACTCACTCTTGGACTTATCGCCTGGTTAAACCAAATCAACATTGAAACGTGAGCACAGTTCAAAACCAAACAGTCCGGTGGAAAACTGGGTAGTTGACAACCGTGCCTGGTGGATGATGTGTGGTGATGCTGTGTGTTGGATGCTGTGTGATGGATGTTGTGTTGTTGATGGTTATGCTGTGTGTTGATGGTTCTGCTGTATGGAAGATGCTGTGTTGATGGTTCTTCTGTATGGTGGATGCTGTGTGTTGATGGTTATGCTGTGTGGTGTATCCTGTGTGTTGATGGTTATGCTGTGTGGTGGATGCTGTGTGTTGATGGTGATGCTGTGTGTTGATGGTTATGCTGTGTGTTGATGGTTATGCTGTGTGGTGGATGCTGTGTGTTGATAGTTATGCTGTGTGGTGGATGCTGTGTGTTGATGGTTATGCTGTGTGGTGGATGCTGTGTGTTGATGGAAATGCTGTGTGATGTATGCTGTGTGTTGATGGTTATGCTGTGTAGTGTATGCTGTGTGTTGATGGTTATGCTGTGTGTTGATGGTTATGCTGTGTGGTGGATGCTGTGTGGTGGATGCTGTGTGGTGAATGCTGTCTGGTGTATGCAGTGTGTTGATGGTGATGCTGTGTGTTGATGGTGATGCTGTGTGTTGATGGTGATGCTGTGTGTTGATGGTGATGCTGTGTGTTGATGGTTATGCTGTGTGGTGTATGCTGTGTTGATGGTGATGCTGTGTGTTGATGGTGATGCTGTGTGCTGATGGTGATGCTGTGTGCTGATGGTGATGCTGTGTGTTGATGGTGATGCTGTGTGCTGATGGTGACGCTGTGTGCTGATGGTGACGCTGTGTGCTGATGGTGATGCTATGTACACCTGGCCCTCAAAAGGAATGGATACTCTGACCGTACTATCCGCCAAGCTGTTTCTCCCTCCATACAGAAACAACCACTTGATACTCCGCTCAAAACCATCACACTACCATATATAGCAGGCGTTACTAAAAGGATTTCCAAAATTCTAAACAAACACACGATCCAGGTCCGGTTCAATACAGTACACAAAATTCGTGATCTGATCCCATCTGTGAAGGATGTCATTCCTGACTTACAGTACCCCGGGGTTTACAAATTCAGTTGTACCTGCGGTGATTGCTATATCGGGGAGACACAGCGACATGTCTCTGACCGAATTCGCGAGCACAAATCAGATTTGAAACACGGTAAAACGAATTCTTCTGCCGTAGCTGATCATTGTTACAACGCTGTGGGTGATCACGATATAATTTTCTCCGATACCAAGGTTATTTGCAAACCCACGGGTTTTTATCAGAGATTTGTTCACGAGGCAATTCAGATCTACAAGCACAAACACAATTTCAACCGAGAAGATAGTTTCAAATTAAGCACCCATTGGAAAGATGTTCTAAATCGAACCAAACATTAAAGCAATTTTCAATGGTACAGTATATTTTTCAAGTAGTGGTACCCCAAACTTTCGCAACTCTTAAATTCCCTTTTCACACCATCAATATGTAAACTCCCCCTCCCACCCCCCCCGCGCCAACCGGCATATGCACTTGCATGTACACCACTTCTATGCTAAGTCGGGCAATCAAATGCTAATTTTTATGCTAATTCCTTTGTCAAGGCACCTTGTTTCCTCGCAGACAGCTTAAAGGTCGCGGTCTGAGCGTGGCTGTGTTTCACTCCAGCGCTGTCCTCGAGACAGCCTGATTCCTTCACCTGATGAAGGCCGCTTGTGTTGTGGCCGAAACGTCGTGATTTTTTGTTTTGTTTTGTTTTTTTACCTACGTGACTTTACCGAATAGAACCAAAGAGTATAGTGTGATGCTGTGTGTTGATGGTGATGCTGTGTGTTGATGGTGATGCTGTTTGTTGATGGTGATGCTGTAAGTTGATGGTGATGCTGTGTTCATAGTTATTGTTAGTTCATAGTTCATTTTTTTAGTATAGCCCTGTGAGCCATTCGGCTCTTGAATCGGGTGCAACCGTAACAAACAAAAAACATGAACAAGAAAACATCTTAAAGTGATTATGTGACTGTGAAAACAGAAAATCCAGGAAAAATATAAAAAATATTCCTGAAATAGCACCGTACACCAACACTGTGTGCAAAAATCCCAGTGGGATGCAAGTCAAATAACAACAACAACAACCACAAGACAACTAAGATTAAGGCCATCAGTCTAACTCCGTACTACAATAAACAAAAACATGGCCAAAACAAAAAAAACTTTTCGAAATCACCAAAATAAAAGCCATGAATGCAATGTAAAAGTGATCATAGGGACTGTGACCGAATTTTTAACAATAAACTACATAAATAAATTATAACACCAAAATCTAGAGCCATATTTTAGGCCACTGAATAGCAGTGGCAGCTAGGGTTGTACAACTCCTCTAGAGCAGTTTTGAGTGAAGATCTCATAGGTAGTGATTCAAGTTGCAGTTTATTGGCAATAGCATTCCAGACCCTGGGGGCATCAATAGCAAAGGCCCTTCCTCCAGTTTTTGTACGGCAATAGGGAATGTGAAGCTGGTAAATGAGCGAAGACCTGAGGTCAAATTTGTTCTTTGAAACAGAGAGGAGATCCAGTAGGTAGTCTGCGGAATTTTTTTAAGTACATCGTGAATAAATAAGATCTGGTGCACAAGCCGTCGAACATTAAGAGATGTTAAGTTTGACCCAATGTAGAGATCACAGTGGTGAGTCCTATATGGGCAGTTCAATGCAAATCTTAAGGCCGAGTGATAGATGGAATCAAGCTTCTTCAGTGTTGACGGTGATGCTGTGTGTTGATGGTGATGCTGTGTGTTGATGGTGATGCTGTGTGTTGATGGTGATGCTGTGTGTTGATTGTGATGCTTGTGTGTTGATGGTGGATGCTGTGTGTTGATGGTGATGCTGTGTGCTGATGGTGATGCTGTGTGTTGATGGTGATGCTGTGTCTTGATGGTGATGCTGTGTGGTGGTGGTGATGCTGTGTGTTGATGGTGATGCTGTGTATTGATGGTGATGCTGTGTGTTGATAGTGATGCTGTGTGTTGATGGTGATGCTGTGTGGTGGTGGTGATGCTGTGTGTTGATGGTGATGCTGTGTTTTGATGGTGATGCTGTGTGGTGGTGGTGATGCTGTGTGGTGGTGGTGATGCTGTGTGTTGATAGTGATGCTGTGTGGTGGTGGTGATGCTGTGTCTTGATGGTGATGCTGTGTGTTGATGGTGATGCTGTGTGGTGGTGGTGGTGATGCTGTGTGTTGATGGTGATGCTGTGTGGTGGTGGTGGATGCAGTGTGGTGGTGGTGATGCTGTGTGTTGATGGTGATGCTGTGTGGTGGTGGCGATGCTGTGTGGTGGTGGTGATGCTGTGTGTTGATGGTGATGCTGTGTGGTGATGGTGGATGCAGGATGGAGAGGGATGCGATGTATGCGTCCAAGAAGGCCGGGAGGGCGACGGTTCGCGTGGAGCTCCGGAAGAAATACAGACTACCTAAGGTATACACACACACTACCCTAGGTGTAAATACAGACTACCCTAGGTATACATACACACTACCCAAGGTATAAATACACACTACCTAAGGTATAAATACACACTACCCAAGGTATAAATACACACTACCCAAGGTATAAATACACACTACCCAAGGTGTAAATACACACTACCCAAGGTATAAATACACACTACCCAAGGTATAAATACACAATCCCCAAGATATAAATATAGACTACCCAAGGTATAAATACACACTACCCTAGGTATAAATGCACACTACCCTCGGTATAAATACACACTACCCTAGGTATAAATACACACTACCCAAGGTATAAATACACACTACCCAAGGTGTAAATACACACTACCTAAGGTATAAATACACACTACCCTAGGTATAAATGCACACTACCCTCGGTATAAATACACACTACCCTAGGTATAAATACACACTACCCAAGGTATAAATACACACTACCCAAGGTGTAAATACACACTACCTAAGGTATAAATACACACTACCCAAGGTATAAATACACACTACCCAAGGTATAAATACAGACTACCCAAGGTGTAAATACACACTACCCAAGGTATAAATACACACTACCCAAGGTATAAATACACACTACCCAAGGTATAAATACACACTACCCAAGGTATAAATACACACTACCCAAGGTGTAAATACACACTCCCCCGGGCCCCTGCAGCGCTTACAATGTGAGGCCCCTCGGTGCTTCAAGCGTGAGCTCACCACTAGGGCCCCCGAGCCTCTGTGTGCTTACAGTGTGAGTTGGCCACTAGGGCCCCCAGGCCCCTCAGTGCACACATCAAGCGTAACACCTGGGGCCCCTTGGTACATACAGTGCATGCTGAAAACGAGAGCCTCTCAGAGAGTGCAGTGCTTCTGTACAACTGAGCCACTGGTTGGCACGCTACAATACGCTGTGACATGATACAATATTCACCAACAAGTCAGTTCATTCTGCATAACAGGACAGTTTGAGGGGCTTCATATTATGGCAAACCATTCGTTATTTGACTTACCGTAACTAGCTGTCCCTTTATTTAGCTAACTGCCCATTTTCCCGAGCTAGCTGTCCATATGATTCAGCTTGTTAACAGAAATGAGTTAGCTAGCTGCCATTTTTGCCAGCTAGCTGCCCTTACAACCAAATCAGCTGCACTAAAAAGCCAGCTAGTGAGACCAAGGGCTCGTCGTTTGTTGAGAGCTTAGTTAGTCGTTGATAAATCAATAATTAAAAATACACCGCGGTTTTGTGAAACATTAAAAAAATTATGCCAAAAGCTATATTTTTTCATACACTAACGCATATATAAGAGACCCATTACATACTTAAAGATTAAGGAAAACCACATTAATTTTTTTCCATAGACCGTCTGTTTTTATATCCACGGAAGTAGACAATGCTCACGTTGACATGCAAATTGTCGACAGCTCTTACGAGGTCTTTTTCCCCCTCCCCATCGATGGGGTGTGGCCTATGGGGTGTGGCCCCTCCCCATCGATGGGGTGTGGCCTATGGGGTGTGGGCCCTCCCCATCCATGGGGTGTGGCCTATGTGCATCGTCTCCACCAAGTCATTTCACTGACATCAGAAATGAAAAAAAGTAATATTTTTCATTCCAAGCAACATTATTCTCTCTGTGTCAGGCAGGTATACAAGACATTTCTTGGTAGGAAAAGCCACAGGCAGATGCCTGTTTTCTTGATTGGTATGCCACAGTAATATATTCGGAGACTTTTTTCATCTTTTTATAAAACAACAGCCTTTTTAAAGGCTATTTCAACAATCCCTCCTAAGGGCTATTTTCTAACAGCCTTATTAAATGGTTAGAGTTATTTATTTTACGTGCTTTTCTATGTTTTTCTTTTATTTACTTAAAGCTGTCTTTAGGTACAAGTAGACTATAAAATACGACCACTTGATTGTATTTTCCAACAACAGTATTTGAAGGGTGTTGTCATTATTATAGATATTCAATTATTATGTAATACGTATTCATATAAATAGCATACAAGTTCTGAAATGTGGACCACAAACATTGGATCAGTGGTGCTTCGAAAAGGAAAGCCAAACAAGAAAAGGAGGCAAGAGAAGCAGTTTTGCTTCAAAGTGTTCCACTCAATGCCAACTTCTTTCAAAAACCCTCTGATAGTAATAATGATGACAACAGCACTCTTGTCAGCTGTGAGGAAGGAACTAGCACTAGTTCAGTTCCCAGTAATGTTGTCACTCCCCCAGAGCCATCCTTTGAAGGCAAACCCTCAACAGCTAATGGTATACAAGAACCATCATTTCCACCTCAGGAGCAGTTGGGCAGTTCACAAGAATAAAATCAGTAACCAAGCCATTCCTGGTGCTATGAGGTCACTGACCCTGCATTATGGCAAAGCACTTTCAGTGACATTGTTAAGTCAGTGCTTCATGATTACAAAACCGAAGTAAAATATATCCAGCTTCAGTCCGAGATAGAGCGTTTGGTGGAAATACTAGAAGTTTCAACAATTAACTTCTGAACTGTATATTGCCAAATGGGCAGAAGGTTTCTAGACAGTGGCTACTGTACTCACCCTCAACAGGATGTGTGTAACTATTGTGGATGCAAACTGTTCTCCAGCAAGCTTTAGTCAGGGGTTTAGTGACTGGAAACACTCTGAAAGAATAGGGGTACACGAAAAGAGTGCAGAACACAGATCATGCATGCTTGCCTTGCACCAGCGGACAAACAGCAGTGCTATAGATGGAGAACGTAAATACTGGAGTGATCAAGTTCTTGGGTGAAAGAGGACTTGCGTTTAGGGGAGATGATGAACGGTTTGGGTCAACCCATAACGGTTATTTCCTTGGCATCCTAGAATTGCTATCACAATTAGACCCATTCTTAGCTGAACATATTTAAAAGTTTGGTGGAAAAGAAAGAGGCACAGTGTCCTATTTGTCATCGACAAAATGTGAAGAATTCATTGAGCTAATGGGTCAGAAAACTCGCCAAACAATAGCAGATGAGATTCGGGATGCCAAATATTTTTTAAAATTTTTGTTGACTCCACCCCAGACCTGTCACGTGTGGACCAATTTGAGGTTAATATTCCGATTTGTTAACAGCAGCGGGAATGTGGTGAAGCGATTCCTGGTCTTTGAGCCAATTGAGAGCTACGCTGGTTAAAGTTTAGCAGATTGTGTGACTTTGATGGTTGAGGGCCTTGTGTTGGACCTCTCAAACTGTACAGGTCGTTCATATGACAATGCAAGCAACATGTTAGGAAAACACAATGGGCTACAGGCTCACCTGAAACAAAAAAACCCTCTGATAGAGTAGGTGCCTTGCGCAGCGCATTCACTTAACTTAGTTGGTGTTACCACCTTAGACGGCAGTTGCCCAGAGGCTGACGAGTGTTTTTTTTAACATGTTATAGTCACTCTACACATTTTGCTCTTCATCCATACACAGATGGGGGAAAGTCTTTCGGAAGACAGATATCAGACTGGCATTAAAATCGTTGTCCAGTACGCAGAGTGCTCAGGCAGTCACCCAGGGCACTGTGGAGAAATTACACCCACATTAGAGAGGCCTTCGGTGGTATGTGCAATGATGGTAATGAGAAAAGAGATACTCGAATTGAGGCCGCTGGACTATGTGCTAAATTGGACACCTTAGAGATGGTGTTCATGGCACATTTCTGGGACGTCATACTTTACCGGTTCCACGCTACAAGCATGCACCTACAGAAAAGTGACATTGACATGTCCGTAGCAGCACAGCTTTTGTCTTCGAGGGATGTTGTGGTGGGACAGCGAGACGAGTTTGAGGCTTTTGAAAGGGCAGCCTTAAATGTGACAGGTGTCTCTCAGTCATATAAGCACGACCTTCAGCGAAAGAGGAAACACAAAACATTTGCAGATGAGAGCTCAGAGCCAGGTGTGACACTTGAGGGGAGGGAAAAGTTAAAAATATAAACATTTAATGTGGTCATTGATAAGCTAGTGGCATGCCTTGAACATCGCTTGGACGCTTACAAGCGTTTGACCAGTCTCTTGTGAGTTATGTTTTATGTCAGATCAAGTGTCTAACAGTGATGTTATAGTGGAAAAGGTAAATACACTCTCTGCTGCATATCCATCAGACCTGGACATGAACTTTGCCAACGAACTCCTCCAATTTAAGGCTTTCATATCCGACTCTGAGGGGGAGAAGTGCTCAACTAAATTGCTTGAGACGTTGCAGGCAACTTAATCTGCAGTCAGTGTTCCCCAATGTTTTCGTGGCACTTCGGATTTTTTCTAACTTTGCCAGTGACAAACTGCCAGGGTGAGCGGACATTTTCCCTTTTAGGCAGAATAAAGAATGAGCTGTGGAGTAGCGCGTTGCCAAACACGTCTCAGCTCGTTGTGACTCGTGTCAATAGAGTCAGACCTTGTCAGACAGCGAGATTTTGGCGATCTAGTGGATGATTTTGCGTGGAGGTAGGCAAGAAAGACACCAATATAGGAAAGCGGGGTGGGGGGGGCCTCCAAAAGACACGTGACTAGGAGCCTCACGGGACCATGATCCGGCCCTGATCCCAACACTTTCGCTAGGTCTCCAACCACCTTAACGCCCCCATTGGATGACGAGGTTAGCTCCTCCCCCAACTCTTCACTCCATCGCCTGCTGACATGTTCGTGCACTAATCTCCCTGAAGCCATGCTGATGTTTTAGTGATTCAAATTTTACTATGGACTAACGTTAATAGTGAATTTACCCGAGCCAAACTCATCACTTCAAATAATGTGTCCGTGCTGTCGCTGCTACTGAGTCGTCCCCTCTTTCTCTCTCTGTCTACGGGCGCGGCGGCACGGCGTTACAAGTTGACATCATTATAATCATAATTATTATTATATACAGGCAAACCTCGCTGAGCGTTCAAGATGTGTTCCTGGAGAAGTGAGCGCTAATTGAATCAGCGCTAAAAGGGGTCATGATATTACTGTATATACAGTATCCCCTCGTTATTCACGAACTTGCTATCTGCGGTTTTGGCTATCCGCGAGTCGCATGTGGAACTGTACATGACTGCATCGAGAGAGAGAAATAAATTGATCAGATAAAGCGATGAGAGAGAATGTGATGCGAGAAAGTGATGAGATAATGTGATAAGAGATAAAGTTATACATTTATTTAAGGCAATTCGTGAAAAAAGACAGCCTTTCAATATCATTATCCGCGAAATTCGCCATTCACGAACATCTCCAGAACATATCCTTCGCGAATACCAAGGGAACACTGTAGTTATACATCGGGATGGGTAACTTGTGTAGTGACACACGACACAGCAGTATTATTGGCTTCATTATTCGTGAGTCTTTATTTCGTTAGGTACGCAACACACGGGCCTTCAAGGATTCCCTTTGTAATGACGACTTGACACACTTCCCTTGAGATGGCACTATATTGAAGACACGTTCACTTGACATCAGGCGGAGACCCCACTGCAACAGCCCCGAGCCTCCCGCACATCTCCCTTATAAACCAACCGAGGCCGCGCCTCCCTTCTCGAACCTTCTCGCTGACTCTGGATGCTCGCTCCAAAGGCAGACTCGACTGTCCTCTTCCGTCACCTGACCATGCTCCCGTCTCGATCATTCCCGTAGCCACCGGTCCCTTCGCACTCACAACTGAATCATTACCTCCCGAGGCCACTAGTGCATTCGCACTGTAAGCTGACTCCCCTGTCATTACCTCCTGAGGCCACTAGTGCATTCACACTGTAGGCTGACTCCCCTGTCATTACCTCCCGAGGCCACTAGTGCATTCACACTGTAGGCTGACTCCCCTGTCATTACCTCCGGTGGCCACTAGTCCACTCACACCGCATGCAGGCTGTATTGTCTTTACACATTCACTCCAAGCGTGTCGAGCTCTCGTGTTCCCCCCCAACACTTTCCCCTTCAGCCAATCACTTTCTAACTTTCTCGAACGGATCCCAACCTACCTCCCTGTCAATCATCCTCCGTTTCACGCTCTTTCCACTTTGTATTTCTCCCTCCAATCCCGTCCTCAATTTCCCTTGCCTCTAACCAATCTCCTTTGAGGCCCGTTAAGTTACCAAATCAGAGGGCTTGTTTTTACCTGCTGATTTTCCGTGTCACGCGGTGTCCACCAATGTGAGGTGAGTATTGTTGCTAGTGACTTCAATATTTCGGGCGGGGGGGGGGGAGGTCGCTATTACATATTACATACAATAAATGTATATTAATTGTAAACTACTGAAATTAAATTAAAGGTGCCCAGTTTGGGTGGGGCGTTGCCCCATTGTGCCTCCCCCCCCCCCCCCGAAGGCAATGCACCGCCCAAGCTTGCACCGCTCACCTCCTCTGCCCCCCACCCACCCTTCCCACCTCTTCGCCGACTACGTCCGCGGCTCAGAGCGAGCAGGACGAGGCTCAGATCACGATGGCAGGCGACGACGTGGAGCTGCCCGACGAGCTCACCCGCATGGTTCGCCAGGACGAAGAGGAGGAGGAGGACAAGGAGTCGTTCGCGGCGCGCCTGCAGAGCCTCCAGGAGATGGACATCGACACCATCAAGGAGAAGGCCCAGGAGACCTTCAACGAGCTCAAGACCTCGGTGGCCGAGCACAAGTGCCGCGTCATGTAAAAATAAAATTGAGGAGGGGGGGGGTCGTGCCGGGTTTAGCCGAGGAGTTTTGCGCCCCCCCCCACCTCGTGGTTTCGAAACGCCGCCCCCCACCCCCCATCCCTCCCACCTACCCCCACCCCCCATCCCTCCCACCTACCCCCATCCCTCCCACCTACCCCCACCCCCCATCCCTCCCACCTACCCCCATCCCTCCCACCTACCCCCACCCCCCATCCCTCCCACCTACCCCCACCCCCCATCCCTCCCACCTACCCCCACCCCCCATCCCTCCCACCTACCCCCCATCCCTCCCACCTACCCCCCATCCCTCCCACCTACCCCCATCCCTCCCACCTACCCCCACCCCCCATCCCTCCCACCTACCCCACCCCCCATCCCTCCCACCTACCCCCACCCCCCATCCCTCCCACCTACCCCCACCCCCCATCCCTCCCACCTACCCCCACCCCCCATCCCTCCCACCTACCTCCACCCCCCATCCCTCCCACCTACCCCCACCCCCCATCCCTCCCACCTACCCCCACCCCCCATCCCTCCCACCTACCCCCACCCCCCATCCCTCCCACCTACCCCCACCCCCCATCCCTCCCACCTACCCCTACCCCCCATCCCTCCCACCTACCCCCACCCCCTACCCCCACCCCCCTACCCCCCACCCCCCCATCCCTCCCACCTACCCCCACCCCCCATCCCTCCCACCTACCCCCACCCCCCCATCCCTCCCACCTACCCCCACCCCCCATCCCTCCCACCTACCCCCATCCCTCCCACCTACCCCCACCCCCCATCCCTCCCACCTACCCCCATCCCTCCCACCTACCCCCACCCCCCATCCCTCCCACCTACCCCCACCCCCCATCCCTCCCACCTACCCCCCATCCCTCCCACCTACCCCCATCCCTCCCACCTACCCCCACCCCCCATCCCTCCCACCTACCCCCATCCCTCCCACCTACCCCCATCCCTCCCACCTACCCCCACCCCCCATCCCTCCCACCTACCCCCACCCCCCATCCCTCCCACCTACCCCCACCCCCCATCCCTCCCACCTACCCCCACCCCCCATCCCTCCCACCTACCCCCACCCCCCATCCCTCCCACCTACCCCCACCCCCCATCCCTCCCACCTACCCCCACCCCCCATCCCTCCCACCTACCCCCACCCCCCATCCCTCCCACCTACCCCCACCCCCCATCCCTCCCACCTACCCCCACCCCCCTACCCCCACCCCCCCATCCCTCCCACCTACCCCCACCCCCCATCCCTCCCACCTACCCCCACCCCCCCCATCCCTCCCACCTACCCCCACCCCCCCATCCCTCCCACCTACCCCCACCCCCCATCCCTCCCACCTAACCCCACCCCCCATCCCTCCCACCTACCCCCACCCCCCCATCCCTCCCACCTACCCCCACCCCCCTAGCTGGCGGCCACCCTGGTAAATACTGCGCGTATTGATCCACCAATACGAGCCCCGTGTCACGCGACGTTACTCGATTTATATATTTCAACAACAAATCCTTGCAACGGTATAGGCCGTGTGCTGGCAGGTGATGGTTCAAATTTTCCGAATTAAAAAAAAATCTAACTCACTCGCAGGGGGCGTGCCTCTGCCCATATATGGAAGAAAGTAGGCGGGACGTGCTTCTTGCCCAAATATGGTGTTGTTAGAACCCGACTCGAGGTGTGTCTGTAGTATCGATTCCATTCACAGTCCATCCGAGAGCCACGTTGAGTATCGATTCATCATCGAGGCTTAATCATTGCGTAGATTCATTGACAAGCGATCCACGGATCGAGTAGTCCCATTGGTGAGTATAGCGTCGTGTGAAACGTCCACACCCCCCCCCACCCCTCCTTTTTGATTGGCTAATATTGGCGTGACCGCGTGCTTCGCTCGCAGTCCCGTTTTTGTTCCTCATCGACAGCGCTGTAGCCGAGGGCCAAAACACGAGCATTCAATTAGCCTCCCTACTTTCCACCTCTGTTCCCTCCACATAAGAAATACAAGTTGATGTCGTTGTTTCTACATATCCCATCAGCGACACATGCCTTCCGTGCAAGTGCATAATCATTCAAAGCGCCGTTGGTTTTAACGGCAAGCAAAACAAAAACAAAATCTGGACCGCTTTCGACATTACAGCGCCGCTCTCAATCACCGTTAAGAAGTCAGGCTCGCTTGAACCCAGTCAACGCTGGTGACCTGCCAGATCTTTACAGGGAGGATCGATGCATCAATGAATATCGAGTCTTCAGCTAAGAGGCCGTCCATAAATGACGTCACGCACCTGGGGGGGGGGGGTCAGACATTTGTGACGATGTGTGACGAGGGGTTTGAAAAATGTGACGTCACATCAAAATGCGTAACTTTAAATAAATATAGAATTTTGATTTAAAGCTTTCGTGACTGCAGTAATTCATATTCTTAGTTGTTTCGGTAAAGTCACGTTGTAAAGTCACGTTGTTTCCCTTCAACGTGACTTTACTGAAAGAACTAAGAATATGAAATATAGAATTGTTATAACAACACTCCTACAACATCAGAGTGCAGCGCCACATTCAATACGCACTACAATGACAATAGTTGAAAGCGATTTTAAATTGAAATATGGTTTTGGAGGGGGGGGGGGGCAGAGCTTTGTGACGTCATATTTGAGGGGGGGGGGTCTGACTTTTTGTGACGCCGTGTGACGAGGTGGGGGGGGGGGGTGGGTCAAAAATCGTCCAAAATCGCGTGACGTCATTTATGGACGGCCCCTAAACCAGGGCTCGGCAAACCTGCAAGCTCTCAAGCCGCACGCTGGCTCTTTGAGCTTCCCCCTTGCGGCTCTTTGGGCGGCCCCCTTTGTGGGCAGTCGTGAACGAAAAAAGAAACCCCGTAAATCTTAAACGTACCTTAACGTAAACTGTATGTATTGAATATGGCAGGGAAAATTGGTCGCTGTGGAATGTCTTGGTGGCGACAAAGTGTACAGTTAAACTGTGTTGTTAACGAATAACTAAAAAGGGGGAGTGGGGGGAACCCAAAATAGGCGCAGTTTATTTCATCGCCTATATTGTTTATTTAAGACAGCATTTCTTTCTCTGCGTGTGATGCGGCTCTCGAACTATTTTGGTCAAAGAGCAAAAAAAAAGTATAACTCTTATTTGAAGGGTTGCCGAACCCTGGGCTAAATCGATTCAGAACATGCACAGCAGCTGGTTGCGGCTGTGTGGTTCACTGCGGATGTGCGTGTTCCCACCATAACCACGTGTGTGCGCACTACAATGCTACTTGATTCGTGGTCTGTATGCTCATGGTGTGTTGTAGGCGTTCGGCGTGCAACCAATGCTAGATAGAGGCGACATCACTTGGCGAGTCACTCGTTCAAACGTATGGCTGTGCGTTAAGGGTAGAGAGAGCTGATACTCCCCTTGGTGAAATGATAAAATCTAGATTTGAAGTTTTCGTGACTGCAGGGATCCATACTCTTTGGTTCTTTCGGTAAAGTCACGTAGTAGGTAGAAAATAAAATAAATTAAATCACGACCTTTTCCGGCGCACACACAACAAGCGTCCGTCATCAGGTGGGACAATCACAGCAAGACACAATAATTGCTGACGTGGGCCTGACGGATGCTTGTGTGTGCGCCCGAAAGGTCGTCATTTAATTTATTTTATTTTATACCTACGAGACTTTACCGAAAGAACCAAAGAGAAATGATGAACGTCAAATATTTCCGATAGTGTCGGACTAGTGTGAAACATCCGTGTGCATCGCTCTACCAACAACACCGGTGGTGCTTGCTGAACTGAAGCGGTCACGGATTGGCCACGTTTGTCCGTCACGTGACAACTTCATGAATTTCGCTGTGTCGGGTGGAGGAGGGTTGTACGACATCGCGATCTGACCCAACAACAAATAAATAATCGGTGAAATCGTGTTCCAGAAGAGTGTATCGGTTCCGTTAAGATCAGAGCGCTGAGCCCAGGCATCACTGAGATCCTCGGATCAAATTGTGGTATCAGTCGCCCGCGACTAATAAGGGGCCATCCATTTAGTACGTACGCATGGAGGGGGGTTAACCCAAATGCGGACGCTTGCGTATGGGGGGGGGGTCTACTGACAATGTTCCCGTACGCATAGGAAACGGGGGGGGGGGGGTGAAGCCACGATGATAATTTGTCTTCATTGGCCTCCAAATGAGCCACAGTTCAGTTTCTTCAGCTGTCAGACAACAAGTACTACCGGGAGAAGTTGGACTGACTGCTCGTTATCACGCAGCTCAGCAAAATAATTGGCCAAGGTACGCAACTTAATTATTTAATGCAGCTGGCGGTCGACTGTTTGCTTAAACACGTTAATATTATTAATCCTTGATCGTTTCTGTGTGGATTAAATATCGGCCGTTCTATAGGATTCGGGGGGGGAGGGGGTGCGTCAGGCTGTACGTACGCAGATGAGAGGGTGTAAAAAGTCCGCGTGCGTACAGGGAGGGGGGGGGGGGGTCAAGTTTTGACAGATTTTTGCGGACCTACTAAATGGATGGCCCCTAACGCAGAGGCCCGTAGTCTCGTATACATACCCATAGGCTCGTGTAGACTGGTTAGGTATTTAACCAGGTTCGAATGTGTAGTGAATTGATGGTTTCAGCCCGGTCACCAATGGCTGCAGAAAATAAAATTACGTCCTGTATCACATTCAATTTGATCCTGCTCTTAATTTGGCTAAATTCCAGACCCGTCACGCAATCAACATTACTCTCGTATGGCGGGGCGCGTGGGCAAGTGCTGCCCCCTACTGTGCCAGAACCGATGTGACGTGAAGAATGTACAGGCAGTCTCCGGGTTACGGAATACCCGACTTACAGAAATCCGACTTTACGGAAATGCTCCCCATACATATCATGTTAAACACTTTCAATGCGGTATTGCGTGCGTAAACGTTCGCATGAGTTACGCGAGCGCAAATGGTGCAGCGCGGTGGCGAGGTTGCGGATGTATGCGGCGGAGCAGGGCGTAAGGCGGGGCCGCATACTCCCCAAGGCGGTGGTGGTGTCTTTGTGTAGCACCGAGTCACGCCGTTACATTGTTACCGTGGGTAGACTGTACCTGCCTCATATTCTTGG